TAATTAAAGAAAACACACAGGTAGGAACAGGTATTTTTTATGTGCTTAAGGTAGCAAATTACATTTCTAAGTTTAAGACCACTTTGTTATCACAGTTCAGTATCTACATCTCCTATCTCCTAATTCAGTTCTGTTTCCAATGTCTTTTATTACTCCTTCTCTTTGTAATTAGGACGATGATAAATATTTGGTTGATTTTTCTTTTGCATTTAATATTTCAGTAACTTTCAGTGTTGTACTTTGTGATCTTGGAAGAATATCATAAACAAAACAGTATTACTGACTTTCTCTTTCCCCTTAAACGGGAAATTTAGTAACTGCTATTTGCTTCATTCTCCCTAATATCTTTCTGAACTCCTTCAAACTCCTACAGCACTCACTGTATTAACATTTATCTTACAATTTTACATGCTAATATCCTTCTTGCGGCACTAGTTTTTAGTTTTTTAATGTGATTATCTCCCTAGCTAGATTTTAAGTTATTTGATAAGAGCCTTGTTTTCAACTTTGCTTTTCCTGTACACCCTTAACTGCTGGTTTTATTTATTCTTTTGAATACTTACTTGTTAGCCATGTTTTCAACTTTGCTTTTCCTGTACACCCTTAACTGCTGGTTTTATTTATTCTTTTGAATATAGCCGCTATACGAAGTTATTACGAGCCATGATTTTGCACCCCCTTTTTACTATCCTTTCTATTTATTTACTCTCTACTTCCTGATGCTGTTCGCTTTTCTCTCTTGTCTGCACCATTGAGAATGGCTCGTTCATAATTTGCCTTCTCACAGCTTTATATTATTAAAAATTGAAATGCTTCTTCAAATACAAACATGTAAAATGAGTTCCAAATCTTTCCAATATTAAAATCAGAACTGTTTATGAACATTTGCCATTTAAAACATTAGGGACTATTAAAGATCATGTTTTCAAAGAACATGTACTACCCTGGGGAAATTTTATAGTTAATTACTAAAAAAAGCAGAATATAATAGTGGGGAGGTCATTTTATACAATGGGTATATATGAGGAAAATATATCAAAATGTTTCCAAATTTTCTAAAATGAGCATGTATTTTATTATTAGAAAAAAAATTACAAATGTTACTTAAGAAATAAAAACAAATTGATTTTTAATGTGAAATTAGACTTAATAATATAAAAGCATATCAGACAATGGTTCTCAATCCTGGTTCTGTAGTATGATCAGAATCTCTAGATATAGGGCCTGGTTATTGGTATTTTTAGTAAAGCTCCCCATGTGATTCTTTTGTGTGAATCAAGGCTGAGAACCACTGGTAGAATCTGGCACACAGAACACCTTAATTATTTTAAGTGGAGTCATGTGTGCATGTACATTTTTATCCTTGTTTTGTGATCTTTTTCTTCAGTAGGAACTTGCAAGTACCCTGTGCTTCTGGTATGGGTTTCCACTTTAATGTGGAAGACTTGACAGAAAATTTGGTTACTGCTGATAATATACATATCTGGTCTATGAAGGAGCTCCAAATAGTTAACCCACAAATTTCTTAAATTTGTCACTGGAGTGAAGTTAAGATATAACATATTCAAAATAGATGTTTAGGCACATAACTAAAAATATTCTTCCTCCTACCAAATAATGGTCTCTGATTTTGTTTGGGGCTTTAATTCTTGACCTACTAACATATTCAAAATAGATGTTTAGGCACATAACTAAAAATATTCTTCCTCCTACCAAATAAGGGTCTCTGATTTTGTTTGGGGCTTTAATTCTTGACCTACAGGATCAGCTGTGGAGTAGTGGTGCTGGGTCATCAGAGATAGTATACTTGTATTTTCTGCCCTTAGATAACTGAGAGACACTGTGTTTTATTTCAGGAAAGTAAATGTGCAGCAAGAAATGGTGAATTGATAATAAGTTGGATAATGCAAGGGGAAAGAAATTCTCTTTAGTATTTTCTTACTAACAGACTGAAGAAGACGTTAGTTCTTTGAGTTGCACTCACCCTTTGCAGTCATGTCAGTAGCAGAACTGGAGGCAGAGGTCAGGCTTTTGGATCGTGCATCCTAACAGTTCTTTGTATTGTGGTCCTTTTCCAGTGTGAGCTGATATAAATCTGTATTTCAAAGTTCCCTGGAAAGAAGTTTGCAGACTGATGTTATGAGAAGTGACCTGAATTTTCAACTCATATATCATAATTTTTTGGTAGGAAGAAGAAACTTTGTACAGCTTTATTTTTAAATGGCAGCCAGTTGCTTTTAGATGGTGCCATTGAAATATATCACATTTAAATTTTTTTTTCTGTTGTCATCTTCATTTTGACACTTAGAAGTCTTAAAGAAACGGTTAGTGATATTCTAGTTAAAATGTCAGTACCAATTTCTTTTCTAAATCTTGGCTATTATAGAGTTGGCAAAGTACTTTAAATTTGAAATATGTTAATAAAATTTTAGTTATGAGTTAAGGTATTTTCTTCAACAGAAATAGCTAGCTTTGGCTAGAGTGCAATGCCAACGAAATAGCTTCTTTATTTTGTTATAATGGAAGCTTTATCGGATTAGAAAAAGTATGAAATGAGCTGAAAGAGCCTTCATTGTAGTGGCCTTCATTATAATAGCCTGATTTATATGGTTGATTCTCATTATTATAAGTTTAATAAATTGTTACCTGAAGGAAAGCTTGAAAATTAAAGTTGATATGACATAGGTAGAAACTGAATAAATTCAGAATTTTATACTGCTGGTAATAAGCCATGATTTGTCTGAGGAAAACCCCTTTTAAACTTGAATTGTATTATGAGCTATTCTAAAAGTTAGCCTTTGGAGAGTAACTTTACCAAAATTCCTTCTTTTGAATTAACGTTTCTTACTCTGATTCTATGACTCCTGCTGAAGGCCTGTTCTCAGCCACAGCTCAGAACATTCTAGCTATCATTGCTGCTGGGAAAGGAGCCACAGGTTATGGAGGAAACTTGAGGTGCTGAGTCCATAAGTTAGGGATTTAGCATTCATACTTCAGTATATTGCTTAGTTCTTACTTCTTAAGAAGTTGATGACATGCTAAGCCCATGCATACCACTATTTTTCAAGGCTGGGCTGAAAAGTATACTTACCTGTAACAGATAAAGCAAACTTATTTTCAGGTTCTGATCCAATGTTATATGTTGCCTATTCGCTGTTAAATGCTCTTTGATACCTAGGTACTGCCTGACTCTTTGCAACTTGGCTAATAAGTCTTTCTATAAGTACATTAACTGGGGATTCCTATTTTCTGAATTACAAGAAACCTGAGATATTAGAACTGTGTAGAGTGGTTTTATGTAAACTCAGGAAGCAAAATTCTATGACAGTTGAGGGAATCTCGAATGAAAAAAAAAGTGAACGTATTTTAAGTGTTTGCAAAAGGCATCTTCAGTAACCAAAAACTAGATTATTTTCACAAATTTTCTCTCAGTTAAGGTAGTAGGCTTCATTTATCATTTCTCCTAATGCTCTATTGAATCTTGAACTCCCAACTACACAGATATTCTGTCCAAAATAATTTTCTTCCCATACCTCCCAAAAAGAAAAGCATCCCTAAAGGTTAGCTTCCTCATTTGAAGTTTTCACTGATTGAAAAATTTTTTGTCTGATTCCCAATAAACAAAAAACACAGAATATCAAACATTAAATAAATACTAATTTTTATTTAATACTAATTCTAATCAGACAAAGTTTGCTATTTAAGTAATTCACAAAATTATGAGATCTTTCCCACCTTTTCATATTTATTTAACAAGGCAAAACTCGTAACAGGCTATTATTTCTTGATTGTATAAATACCTTTTTGTGAATGTATGCCTCTTTACAAATAATTTTAATTGTTAATATCCCTAAAAATATGAAATGAATGTAGTCTAGTAAAGTTGGTGGAGAACATTTGTTATTGAGCCCCATTTTCTTCTCAACTTTAAATTATCATGTGGGAAATAAGTTGTAGAGCACTTTGGTTTATAAAACATGCGAATCAGGGTCAGAAAGCAAAAGAAATAGTTAAATGGACAATGCTTGCTCATTCTGGAGATCCAGAATGCTTTTCATGGTGGTAAGTTCTATTTCTGGCAGTGCTGATAAACTAGATATAACTGTAATGAGAAACAGGAAAGGAATGGGATTTTACCACTAATTGGTTAAATCAGATATAGAAATTTTATTAAATCTCAGGAATATCTTGTACCCCTGTGGTGATACAGTTAACATGGTTGCTGATCTTTGCTTAAGGGAAAGCTTAATAAAGGTGAAAATTAGTTTAAATGTTTTTTTAAACTTCTGCAAAGACTAAGCTGTATATATGATTTTGGATAATTTATCACATATAGAAAAGGAACTTGAGAGAAATATAAGATTATGGACTTATATTTCTCTCAACATTTCTAAGGAGTTTGACTCAATCTTTAACATAGTTGTAAACTTAAGTATCAAAATTACAGTATTAGTTTGAAAAGAGAAATTGATTTGTTATGTTTTTTGAAGGTTCGTTGAAAATAACTCAGTAATTTTCACTACTGCTAGTACTAATTAACTCTTATGTTTTAAGGAACCCAGTGATAATGGACCTCTTTTTACTGAATTAAAGTTCTACCAGCGAGCTGCTAAACCAGAGCAAAGTAAGAGATACAGTGCACATATGATCACACACTTAAAATAACCACTGTTTTTGTTTTCTGTTTAAGCCAAGACTAGACCATTATGTCTTATGTTATGACTTTGCTTTATAAATAAATTCCATTTAAATGTGATTTGTGTGAAAGAATTCTGGTTGTTTAATAGGTTTGTTATAGCAAGATTTCACCTATATTGACATACTTGTATAGAATAAAATTAATAAATGATATTTAGGAAATATTGTTAAATATTGAGAATTAACTCTAATCCAAGGATCTCCAAATCTTTTTGAGTATTTTTCTAACTTGGGGTTGATGCTGTAATTGATGAGATGGAACAGAGTTTCAAGGTAGAGAGCAGAACCTCTTCTAGCTACTTGGGTCCCTTTTGTCCTCCCTTCCCTTCATTTCCCTTCGTATCCCTTCCCCTCCCCTCTCCTCTAAGAATCCAAGGAGTCTCCTGGTAGGAAGGTATCAAGCTTGGCAATTTCCAAAGGAAGCCTTCCATCTCTCCTACATTTTGATTTCCTGGTTGAAGATTTAGATTGAGGAGAAAAAAATCTTTTAGATCGGTATAAAAAGTAGGTCGTCTTGTGGAAGCAAGTAAAGATTTACATAATTAGAGAGATTAACTGCAACATCAGTACTTTAGTTTTGATTTTTAAAAAAATGCTTTTTGTAGATTTTAAAGACAATGTTAAGGGCAGTATAACAATTTTGTACGTTAATAAAAATGCTTTGATTCTAAAGTACTTTATAAGTTATACTGTACAATTCACTTTTATGAGTAAAGGTGAAATCTTGTTACATGTATAAGTACATTCTGCTCTTAATGATTTTTTAAAAAAATTATCATTTATGTATAACAATTGAGATCACAGCATCTTTTTTAACTTGTAGTTCAAAAGTGGATTCGTACCCGTAAACTGAAATACCTGGGTGTTCCTAAGTATTGGGGATCTGGTCTACATGATAAAAGTGGAAAAAGGTAAAAAAATATACATGGTTTGTTTTTCTTCTTTTTTTGAGCATTCACTGTCTAGTTGTTTTAGTCAAGAATTATTCACTGTGCACCTACAATATTGCTAGGCCTTATTTTTTTTTGCCCTTAAAAATAACCCCCCCCATATCCTTATGCGAAAAGAGCATTTCAGGATTCCATTTGGTATTTCATATTACATACATAGTCTACCCACAGAAGATTAGAATTCTGTTCTTTATGAGGGTTTCAATCTAGCTGATGAGAGAAAACAAACATGAAACAACAATTAAGTGCTGAATTGTGTGATTCTGATTCTACATGTCTTAGGAGTTCAGAGAATGGAGAGAACATTGTTGGCATAGTTGAATTGGGGAAAACCTCTACTACTTTGGTGCATAATTGACCCTTTTAAAATACTTGAATAAATGAATGGGACTTCATGGAGTAAGGCTGGTAGCTGAAACTTAAAGAGTAGATTTAGTTTGAAATGGGGGTATATTATTTAGGGTGCTTTCAGCTGCAAGTAAAGGAAGGCTTTGACTCGGCATCTTAAGCAATCATCAAGGGCCCAGGTTTGTTATCTTGCACCTTTGCTCTCCTCTTCTTGGCTTTGTTCTCTGTTAGTTCTCCATTGAATGGTTTCGAGGTGGCTGCCCCATTTCAAGGTTTCACACACAGCCATGGTACCCCTGAAAAAGGGCAGAAAACGGTATCCCGTCCTGTAAGTTTCACTTTCCTGGCAAGGAAACATTTCCCAGGAGTCCTATGGCAGACTTACTGCCACACTGTCATAGCACATTTTACCATGTACATTCTTATCACCTATTTTATAATAAAGCTCAGAGCCAGTTAAACAGGGCTTTATGTGTATGTGACTCCTGTGAGGTGACAAGGGCCTGAGTACTCACTTTATGGAGTTATTGTGTTTTCTTAGTCAGAATTTTATCAGTGCTCATTCTTAAACCAGTCACTGGCAGGGGCATAGTATTTACAGTAATTGACTTGGTGAAGCATGTGGAAGAGGGTGGAATGCCTGAACCAAATTGGTACTCTGTTAGGATTGAGAGAGGGGTAGTTGCTGGGTAGGCAACCAGCATCATTTGCTTGGAATCCATGTGTCTCTTAGGGAGTGTGGGAGCTCCCTGAAATCACATGTAATATATTTTTTTTATGTATATATGGTTTTGCTGGGATAAGTTTCCATAGTTTTTGTGAGATTTTTCTGGAGAAATATTATAGAGCAACGATTATTTAAATATGTTGAGAGCAAGGATTCTAAAGTCTGACTGCCTAGTATCAAATCTGTTTTGTCCTTCACATTGTGTGACTTTGGGTAAGTTACTTCTTTTTGTTTCAGTTTCCTCATCTGTGAAATGGAGTAATAGCTACCCACTTAATAAGGAGGATTAAATGTAAAACTCTTTGAATATATGAATAACATATGTAAGTGTTAGCATTAACTCTCAAAAGGGTCTTTAGTCCCTTAAATGTTAAGACCTGTGGGTTTAGAAAATCATTGAAGAGGAGGGATCGCATCTCACGTGGGAACTTAACATGGACACAGGCAGGATAGGCTTCTATCCTGCTGCGTGCCCTGATGCCCATCTTTCTTTAGCAAAGGAAGAGGACTTGTGTGTAAAAGAGAGAAGAAAATAAACTTGGAGAAAGACTGAAGGAGATAATGACAATCCAGAGAGGAAAGAGCAGTTTGGAGCTGACATATAGTAGGTAGTCAGGAGTCACCACACACTATTGAAGAAGGGACAAGATGGCATGATGGTGAAAGTGACACTCGAGGACTGGTTTACATGGTGAGTTAGAGACTATCTAGAGGGTGGTGAGACAGGAGAAACCCTTACAGATGACTTGCTAGAAAGCAAATATATTTGATTGTGTTACATTCTTAAAAAGTCTTAGTTTACAAAAAACCACGTTTTGTAGAGATAATTCTAAGAAAAGTACACCTAGTGCTAGAGCATTTTTAGACTTGGAATAACACCACCCCACCTCCATAATTTCAGTATAAACTTCTTTAAAAAAAGTATATTGCAATAAAACTGAAACATCACTGAACAAATCTAGCATGATATTGATTGTACTTGACTCTGTCAGGTGGTGTCTTGGACTAGCTACTTTCTGTCTCTCAAATTACCTGAAGATGGGGATAATAATACTCACTTTATGAAGTTATTGTGGAAATGAAATGAAAACATGTAAATTGTAAGGGACACACAGTACAAGAGTACTTCAAAAAGTTCATGGAAAGATCTGTACTATCTGTTAATTCTATTTTGTCATGAACTGTTTGAAATACCCTTGTAAGTGCCCAGTAAATGTTAGTTGTAATCATCATTGAGATTATTATTATTGGTTTTATTTGTTTGCTTATTAGTATTTTTGTTTGGGAACGGTGGTATTTTGCTTGGGAGTGGTGGTTTATCTTTTCCTTTCTTTTTTTATTTTTGTTTCTTTGGTGGCTGGCTGGTATGGGGATCTGAACTCTTTGATCTTGGTGTTATAACACGGTGCTCTAACCAACTGAGCCAATGGGGCCATCCTGGGATGGTAGTTTTTCTTAAAGTCACCCACACTGTCTTAGCACATTTTACCATATACATCCTTATCACCTATTTTATAATAAAGCTCGGAGCCAGTTAAACAGGGCTTATGTGTATGTGACTCCTGTGAGGTGACTGGGGCCTGAGAGAGGTCGAAGGTTGACTCTAAGCTGACTGAGAGAACTTCCCTGGCATGGATCAGAGGTACCATAGAGTGCAGTGACTGGAACTAGATACACTTTGGTCTAAGTCTTAACACTTACTACTGGTGACCTTAACTCTTAGCCTCTTTTATCTATAAAATGATGTTGCTAGAAATGTCTCCTTTAAAAAGAGACATGTATAAAGTATTGAGAGTCATGTGTAAGGTATTGATTTACTTTTTAGGTTGAAGCTCTTAAAAATAATCATATTGGTCTTGTAAAAGTAGAGAAAAAGAAAGTAAGATCCTTCTTCCAGCCCCCTTCCCTGCCAGAAATCTGTACTTTTCTCTGTAACTCATTTGAATTAATATGTATATAATACTTATTAGAACAGTGTTAGGACTGTAAAAATGTTAGCTGCTGTCATTATTAGATCATTTATACTGATTTATATTTGTCATAACTTGCATGTTTTACCCAAGTCCCCAGAAAAGTGTACTTCAGAGGTTTTACTTTAGAAGAGTTACTTAGAAATAACTTTCATTTTACTACTCAGTGACAGAGTTTTCCAGAAGAATGTGGTAACATTTTCCATGCAGTGTACAGAATCATGCTTCAGTTGATGTTTATAATTTAGAAATGGTGAGGGAGATTACGGGATTGTTTAGAGTAGTGGCAGAGTTATCTGTGAATAAAAACAAAAATCTACTTAATGTGATGTGTTAATAGATCCCATGTTGAATTAATTGTTTTAGCCCTCTTTTAGACTGTCAGCAGAGATTTTATTTTTGTTACCTGTATATGATTATAATAATTACACCACTTTTTTGTAAAAGCAAACATGTACATGGGTCCTCTTAACCTTTTATAACCTGTTATACAAAGTAAATCAGGAAGTCAAAATTATTGTTCCCTTTTTATTATCTTAGAGGCAAAGGTACCAAGAAATCTTACATGAATGAATACATTTTGCAGGCAATTACTTGTATGACTGTCGACAAATTACCTCCATAGACTTGGTTATTTTATTTATTAAAATATTATAGAATAGGTATTTAAAAATAAATTAATGTTTTATTTATTAAAACATGTTTAGACAACATGATTTTTTATTCTCTTCCAGTTCAAAAATGGATAGAATCCTGCATTTTTTATTTGGCATGTTGTCTTTTAATGTTAGTTAGCTCTTGCCTTCCCTGTTGAACTTGTCATATTGTATTTTTATCATAGATGCCTATAACATGTAAGTGGGATTTTTGTATCCTACCGACATATATTTATTTCAGTTTGTGTAGTGCGTTGGTCAAAAGCATGGCTCTACCTCATACTAGAGGGCAAATTACTTAGTTTTCTTCTACTGTAAAATGGGGATGATAGGAGTACCTACGTTATAGGGGTGATGTGAGGTTTAAAAGCGTTAGTACATCTAAAGTGTGAGAGTAGTGCTGTGCTCACACCAAGTGTTCAGTACATGCTAGCTGTTATGATGATGATGATTCATAATCTTATCCCCATTGGAATGTATCTTCATACGTTTTGAATGTGGTCTTGGTTTTTCTGATTTATTGAATGATTTAACCAGACAAGTTGGAATCTGAAAAACCGTTGACGATAAAGGTGGACCTCGGAGCAAAAACTGAAAGTTTACTGCAAATAGGTGATGCTTTTCAGTGATACTGAAATACAACAAACTTATGGTTATTGAATCTTAGGATTTGAGTGCTAGAAAAGACCTTAGAAAGGGTGAGTCTCTGCTTTCTCATTTCATTCCTGTGAAAATTTAGGCCAAAGGAAGTGATGTAACTTGGCCAAGGTAACATAGCTAGCTGGTTAGTGGCAAAACCAGAAATCTTTGTATTTTTCCCAAATTTATTCTTCCCCAAATCTTGGCCATTGAGTGTTTAATGTACAATCCTTTTATACCATCTAAACAATTTTATTGAATTTAACTATTGTTACAGCATCTTGTGACAGTCTTGATTTTAACAGAATGTTGATACTGCTGAAATGTGTCTTAAAAATAGAGAAAAACAGTCACAGGAAGGAAGCTAATGTCTAGAAACATAAATTAACTTTAGCTATGAGAAAAATCATGCTATCATTTTTATTCTGATTGTTTTATTTTTAATGTGAGCAAATCTGTTGAGTTCTTTCTGTAGGCATTACCTTAAATTGAATATTGTTTCCTATAGCTAGCTGAGATCAGAAAGAGGCTTTCCAGGTAAAAGGCAGGACAGGAAAGCACTCTGAACTCTTGAGATTTCTAGTTGGGAGAAATTGTTTCAAATATTTGTATTTCTTTCTTTTTTTCAGAATACTTTCTTACTAAACATTGTTTTGAAAAAATTACTTTGAAAGGAGAGTACTCGTTGCAAAGTAGGTTTTTTAGTTATTTTGTTCATTGACTTTTCTTGTTTGTCTTCAGTTATAGGTTTATGATAATGGATCGCTTTGGGAGTGACCTTCAGAAAATATATGAAGCAAATGCCAGAAGATTTTCTCGGAAAACTGTGTTGCAGCTGAGCTTAAGAATTGTACGTGAGCTATGTTCTTCTTGTTTAAAAAAAATATGTTTTTAATACAGTAAAGGCTAGTTTGTGTTGAAGCTTGGTCCTCTGCTGGTTAGCATTAGGTACTGCATTAATTTATTCTGTATGATGCTTTCATAGCTGGATATTCTGGAATATATTCACGAGCATGAGTATGTACATGGAGATATCAAGGCCTCAAATCTTCTTCTGAGCTACAAGAATCCTGACCAGGTAGTTTTATAACTTTTTTTGCTATTTGAAATGTGTTGTTTGAAAACAAATATGGTTGCTTTGAACTTTTGAACCGATAGAGAGAAGTTTTACTTTTTGAAGTAGATAAGGTAATAATATTTCTTGACACTTTTATCTAGTTAACATTCTACATTTTTGATGTGATTTGTTGGCACTTTATCAAGTTGGCTATTTTACCCTAAATAATATTCAGAAGAAGTGCTTGTGATACAAAGTGAATTTCAAATAGCGATTTGGGGGTGGAAGCTTAAAATTATATAGTATACCAGTGAATTATGTTTGCCTGTCTGCTTTGTCACTTTTTTTATTTCCTTTGTTCAAGAAATCCATCAAATATAAGTGTTCTGTTACTTGGAAAATTTGGTCTTTAACATGTTGATTATTCAAATCAATTGGTTTACAGAAATATCATAGCTGTCTAAATTTGTATACGCTTAGTGTTTAGAATTCAAATGTGCATTTTTTTTAGTTTATTACATTCTCTTTGTAATTTTTACTTTCTAAGGAAAGGAGGAAAGCTAATGTTATACCTTTATTTGGGTCAGTAGAGGGATCTATACAATTTTCTTATAGTTGTTTCCATGATTTTGGTAAAAGTAAGGTTGACATTCATAGTTGGGCCACTGTACTTAATGTATGTTTTCACTTCTTACTTGATCTTGTATAAAAAAATATGATTTAAATGTGTTGGTTACTTCGGTAATTGTGTAATTATTTTTCAGTACTCTATACTTCTTTCTTCTTTCTCTCAAAGCTACCTTTAACTACCTTTACTTAGTTTTTCCTTTCCTTTGGCTCTTCTTTCTTTTTCTTTCATCTTATATTTTTGCTTCCCTTTCTTCCGTGTTGGTTATGGTGGGTATAGGGGATCTATGTAAAAGTAACAGAAGAAAGTTGCTATACCATAGCATGCTAATGAAGAAATCTTAAAGGCAGTCACAAAATTCATCTTAGCTCTTTCCAGCCATCTTGTTTTAGATGGCTTCTAGGTTAAAAACTAAAAAACAAAACACAGCTAAGGACCTGAACAATAAGGGTTTCACTAATTGAAGTAGATTGGACTTGTACAGTATAAAATATAAAAATACAACTTATTTCAGTTTGCACTTGACTAAAACATGCTGCCTTTTGTTTGTATGGAAATATTTTGCAGCTCTGTTATCCTTTGGGCATATGTTTTGGATGGGATTATTTTTCCAGGATTGGATGTATGTGCTAGATCCATCCTCATATTTTTATTTCAGTTTTCCTCTTGTGCCCAAAAGCATACATTTGTGACAGTTACCCAGAATTAAAGGTGTAATATGTGGCTGCAGAGTAGAAGAAGGCCAAATTTGTTAATCAGACCCACATGTATATGCCTACAGATTTGTGTATATATAATATTAAAATTTAGTTTTGATTATGAAGACTTGACTTTAATGAATAGTATGTAGATAAGAGCCTTATCTAAAAGTTATTCACATCATTATTATAATCTGTGAAATACTTCTATGAAGTAAATTGGTATTTAATTATTTTACAAGTGACAAAATAGAGGAATAGAAGATAAATAATGTATCCTATGTCAGCTCCGTTAGCAGCCTTAAAATCGATATGCTTTTCTATATGGAAAGTGGCTGTTGTTTTGCAACAAGCATTGATGGTTTACCCTGCGCTCAGTTTTATTTTAGACTCTGTAAGAAGTAAAAGATTTGTCGTTCTTGCTGAAGATGAGAAGCCAAGATTACTTACAAGTATAATGTATACTTGTCTAAAAAATATATAAAGTCAAGTGATATTATTCGGACTGTAGCTACATGGTCATTTAATATTTTTATTAAAAATAAAAAATCTTTCAGAATTAAATATTTGCTGTTGTTTGCATTTTGGATCTAGCTTGTTTGGGGTGCTGTAGTATGGTCTTATGGGTGAATCCATCCTCAAATGACAGTATTTTGTTTCTGTGCTTTAAAGGAGTATATGTGCAATGATTTTAGCTTTAATTTGTCATGGTGCTTGAAAATTTATAGGTGTACTTGGTAGATTATGGTCTTGCTTATCGGTACTGCCCAGAAGGAGTTCATAAAGAATACAAAGAGGACCCCAAAAGATGTCACGATGGCACTATTGAGTTCACCAGCATCGATGCGCACAATGGCGTGGGTATGTCAATGGCTGTTGAATGAGAAGTACGCTGCTAATGTTTTCAATCACAGTCCTGCCTGGTTCTTAATTACGCATAAAGAAATAGGTAGATAAATAAATAAGAATTGAAGAGGCAAGGCAGGATGAGAAAAAAGACAGAGGTTTTACTTCTGTAATTGTGCCACAGTTGTATTCTTGTGTTCTTTTCTCTGTCCTCTTCTCTCACCCTTCAGAGATAACCAAGAAGGTTGTAATGGTATGGTGGTTCGCTCAGCTGCAGCAAGGATTTCTTTAGCTTAATCAGAATGTTGGTTTATTTTTGTTTTTTTTTTTTCTAAAGTTGGTGGTTCGCTCAGCTGCAGCAAGGATTTCTTTAGCTTAATCAGAATGTTGGTTTATTTTTTTATTTTTTATTTTTCTAAAGCCTGTAAGTTTCTTATGCAGGTGCAACTTTATAATAGGTAACTTTTATTTTGTCACCTATTGTTAGCTTATTTCTTCAGCAGTCATTTCTTTTTTCTGTGCCTAACACTGAAGGGTCTCAAACACCTTGTTGGCTGGGCCTCTCAATAGTATATAAGATTTTTTTATGTCTTCAAGTTTTCCAAGGGCAATATTAAATGTATTATTCTTTTATAATTTATTTCTTTGACTTATAGTCTCAATTTGAAACCCTAAAGTTTACCAATTTGGGTGTTAAAAAGTAAATTATTAGTTGGAGGTAAATTATTTCTTTTATACTGCCTACTGTTCAATATTTTTATTAAATGCAGTCAAAATTTTGTGAAAAATGGTATCTTATTGCTTTATATATACTCGAAATTATACATTAAAAATTATTTCAGTATGCCTAACCTTTTTCTTTTGTATTTGTAGCCCCATCAAGACGTGGTGATTTGGAAATACTTGGTTATTGTATGATCCAGTGGCTTAGTGGCCATCTTCCTTGGGAGGATAATTTGAAAGATCCTAACTATGTTAGAGATTCTAAAATTAGGTAATGGAGAACTTAAAATATTTTGGGTAAAATCATGGTGAGGCAAATGTTTTTAGTCAGAATTTCTTGATGGGAACTGTAGTTTTATCTGATACTAATGTAGAAATAAGAAGGTACTTGTTAAACAGTAAGTTTCTTTGGTCTTTTGTTGAATTTATTTTAGAAGAATGTCTGCAAGCATATTTAGGATGTGGCACAATGTTGGTTAATGTGCTATTTACTGTTATTAAATATTAATGATATTCTGTGACATCAAGCTTCAAATAATGACTAATTCTTTAATTTTTAACAGCTACAGAGAAAATATTGCAGGTTTGATGGACAAATGTTTTCCTGAGAAAAACAAGCCAGGTAAGAAAAGACTTAAATGTTTATAGAGATTTTGTTTTCTTGGGGTGGAGGAAATGTGTGATTTTCATGGAATATTCCTTAATGTAAGAACATAGGTATTTTTAAATGCAATTATTGAACTGCTGTTGTCAAAAAAACACTTCCTATCCAAAGTTAGGTTGTTAAATGAATTCTTGATCCTTATTCAATTATTATTCAGTGCTTTTGGGAAAGGGAGCAAATTCATTTATTCATTCAACTAGCATTTATTAAGGCTTTATTGTATGTCAGGGACTGTTCTAGGCACTGGGGATACATCAGTGAACAAAACAAATAAAAAATCCCTGCCCTCATGAAACTTAACGTTCTAATTGGGAGAGACAGATGGTAAATAAGTGAGTGAGTTTTATAGTAAGTTACATGGTTAGTACTGTGGAAAAAGAAGAAAACTGGGAATAACCCTCATGAAACTTAACGTTCTAATTGGGAGAGACAGATGGTAAATAAGTGAGTGAGTTTTACAGTAAGTTACATGGTTAGTACTGTGGAAAAAGAAGAAAACTGGGAATAAGATTGGGGCTGTGGGAATGAGGTGGGAAGTAAAGTGGGGAAGAGAACTGAAGTTTTAAATAGGGTGGCCAGGGTCAACATCATTGAGAAGTGACATTTAAGCAGTTGTAGGAAGGAGGTGAGGGGGTAAGGTAGAAGTCCAGGAGGAGTGTTCTAGCAGAAGGGACATATGTTCCACTCCTTGTAGGACATCATGAGGACTTTGCCTTTACTTTGAACAAGAGTGTAAGATTTGAGATAGAAGAGTGACATGAATTGTGTTATCTTTAAGGGGACTCTCTCTAGCTTCTGTTGTGAGGATACACCACTAAGTGAATGAGGAAAGGCATAAGCAGAAGGCAAGTTAAGAAGCTACTACAGTAGTACCAGCAAAGGAAGTAGCAGTGGAAGTAGTGAGAAGTAGTCAGTGTGGATATGTTTTGAAGTCTTTTTAAGTTTTTGCTGAGTTTTGTTTTTTACAGGGAGGTCTGCCCTGACTTTATGCTATTGAAAATTGCAGACCAACACCCATAACAATAAATACAATATAGCCTTCTTAGAATTAGCTCTTGTGCCTCCTACCAATCAGTAGTAGTCTCTCACTCCTGGCCTAATGACTCTTCCATTGTCAAAGATTTGTTTTTGAAATGTACGGAAATGGAATCATACAGTGAACAAAATAGATAAAAATCACTGCCCTCGTGAAATTAATGTGTAGTTCTGTTAGTGTCCCTTTTCTTTCACTTAGTGTTATATTTGTAAAATTCATCCCCATTGTTGCGTGTTTAACAGTAGTTTATTTTCATTTCTATATAGCATTTCATTGTATTTCTATACCATTATTTATTTATCTATTCTACTGTTGGGTTGTTTCCAAATTTTGACAATTATAGATTGCCAATTATACATACAGATATGTAGTCTACCTGCAGTTGATTTCTTTGTATTATATGAGCAGGGATCAAATTTGTTCTTCACCCCCTTATGTATATCCAGTTGACCCAGCAGCCTTTCTTAAAAAGGCCATACTTTTCCCTGTGGTGTCACCTTTGTCATAAATCAAGTGTGGCTCTATGGATCTATTTCTGGACTCTTCTGTTTCAATTGTTCTTTTTGTCTATTCTTGGGCCACACTGTTTCTTTCTTTTTTAAATTTTTTTACTTAATGTTTAGATAGAAAATTATTTTCTCAATATACACACAAAGGAAAACATCACAAATTGAATTTAAAGTCAATTGATAAGGAACAGATTTAACACAAAGATTAACATGCTTAATGCATAAAGAACTCTTAAAAATGAATTAGAAAAATCTTAACAGAAATTTGGTGAAGGACATGAGCAGACAAGTCACACGCCCAAAAGAAACACAAGTGGCTAATAAATACATTCTATAATAATGTTCATAGAAATGTAAATTAAAACAGAAAAATGATATTTTTCCTTTCTTAGACTGAGAAATATGACATGGTATAATACTGGCAGTATGAGAGAAACAATGTCAGAATCTTCTAATATAAGTATAAATTGGTAAAACTTTTTTGAAGAACAGATTGGATTCATAAATAGAAGTCTTTAGAATGTTCATACACTTTCAATCAATTATCCTACTTCTTGAAACTGTAAGCAAATAATCAAAGGAAATATATTGTTTTTAAATGTGGAAGGTAGTTATGTAAAGGCCAAAAAATGGGAATAAACTGAATGTCCAACAATATGAGAATGGCTAAATAAATTATGGACCTCCATAAAATGTAATATAGTGCAGTTATTAAAATCATAATTTTGCAGAGTATTTAAGACAAGTTTTCAAGATATAACATTAAGTGAAAAAGCAGGATGAAAAACTGCACTAACTAAAAATAACTAGGTATGTTTAAACTCCAGATAGGGCTGGCCTGGTGGCGCACTGCTATAGTGCGCCGCCGCGTTCCCAAGCGGCGAGGGTTCGGATCCCACATACAGACTGGCCGCTCACTGGCTGAGCGAGGTGCGGGCGCAACACCGAGGGTTGCGATCCCATTGCTGGTCCCGCTCCAGTACGGGCGCGACACTGAGGGTTGTGATCCGTTGCCTGTCACGAAAAAAGACAAAAAGGAAAAAAAAAAAAAAAACTCCAGATATCATGAGACTTCACCTCTGACTACTTTAATATACATACTATAGTCACAATGAAGTTATCACTAAGAATGTGAATGAGGGGCCGGCCTGTGGCTCACTCGGGAGAGTGCGGTGCTGATAACACCAAGGCCATGGGTTCGGATTCCATATAGGGATGGCCGGTTTGCTCACTGGCTGAGCGTGGTGCTGACAACACCAAG